ACCACTTCTTTGTGGCAGGAGGGAAATACACATTATGGTCATGGCTGGTTGTTATGATGAACGTTAGAGGCCAGGAAACCCCTGTGAAAGTGGTCTTTCACCTGGTTTGGATGGATTGGCAGGTACTGAGGTTGAAACCCATACAGATTAAAATTCAAATAACATCAGCTGTAGAGCAAATTACATTTAAAATCTTGTAGAAGAAGAAGAGTAAACACTTTTGCTATTAATTTACTAATATTTTACTGATTTTCCACTTTAAATGTTTCAGACTTAGGGATTAATCCATGTTTTATCTGCAGACAGATTTCCTAGAGTATCTTAAAGCATCCCAAGGTAGAAAAGTTTGTAAAATCAAGAAGCTGGAGATGTGTAATGAAGAAGATACATTCTGCTTTCTCTTCCAGTCGTTTTGTCCTGCTTCCTCTCTCTGCCTTGTCTTTTGTTTCATCCACAGGCTGGCAGGTACCTGGCAACTTTGTCATGGCCAGCTACAGAGCAAAAAATCTGATGAGTTCTCATGGTTAATAAACTACACGTCGATCCTCTGGAGCGGTGGAAGTGGCATAGGAACAGAGCAGGGAGGTTAATTATGCTAATTACTCATGAAAATTCAGGTAGCACGTATCCCCATTTATTTCAGGCAGTTTGCCAGATAAAAAGCTCATACTTTTATCTGCTCCTTTTGGAAAAGTCCACGGGTCAGCAAATATTTAAAGAATTATCTTGGTTTCTCCCTAAGTTTGCAGATCTCCAGTTCTGAGCTGCTATTTTAGAAAGCAATGTAATGGACTGCTGAGAATCGCAGAAAATAGAGGGTAGTAGGTTTGGAAGAACTTCTTTATTTAAAGGAGGTAATTACGAATAAGTGCACTGATATGGTGCTACATGAATTATTCGACTGCAAACACTGGGTAAAATATCTCAGGCGTGTCTTGTCTGTTCAGCTTGAAAGGGGAGGAGATGCTATGACATCGTTATCTTCTTTGCTGTCAGTGCAACAGATTAGTCTGCTATTTGCCCGAAGATGGCAAGGGAAGGGGGGGGGGGGGGGGGCAAGGCAAGGGGGGGGAAGGGGGGGCAGGGCAGCGCAAGGCAAGGTAGGGCAGGGCAAGGCAAGGCAAGGCAATGCAGGGTAAGGCAAGGCAAAGCAAGGCAAGGCAGGGCAGGGCAGGGCATGGCATGGCAGGGTGGGGCAGGGCAAGGCCAGGTGGGGCAAGGCAGTTCAAGGGAAGGCAAGGCACGGCAAGGCAGGGCTGGGCAGGGCAAGGCAAGGCAAAGCAAGGCAAGGCATTTCTTCTTGAATAGAAGAAATGGAAAACCATGGCCTCCCTGCTCTGGAGGAATGGGAAGAACTGGAGCAGCCCCAGAGGACACCTGCCAGGTGGTTTAGGGCTTCTGTGGAGGGGCTGAGGGTCCTGGGGTTCTTTAGCCTGGTGAAGTAGAGGCTCAGAGCTTCTCTTGGTAGTGGGAAGAGAAGGAAAACTCCACAAATGGCAGCTTGGAAGGTTCAGACTGGATGTGAAGAAAAAGAAATCTCACTCCAAGTGTAGCCTTTTGGTGCAAGACATCACCCGGAAGGAGTTTGGATCAGCCCATGGCTTTGTGTTTCAAGGAAAAGACAGCAATGGGTGAAGAGACATCAGTGCACATATAGAAATGCTGGGGTGATGTTGCAAAATGAGTGATTTAGATCGCTTAAAGAACCACTGTTGAAGGTATTAGCAAATGTGGTTTTAGTATGATGTTGTAAAAGCGCGACTTAACAAAGTTCGATGGCAAGGTTCACTCTATTAATTACTGCATGGAGGAGACATAGAAAGGAAAATTGAGTTACACTCAAGTTACAATGATTCACAGAGAGACCAGAGACACAAAGGGTAAGGAAGACCCTCCGGTTGAGTGATGAGGTTCAGAGTGGACCCCCTTGTTTTCTAAACTTCTCAGAGAGGAGTCTAGGTGCGGCTAGGTCCAAACCTCGTCTCAGACCTGGTCAATGGTTTATGTCTAAGGGAATGTATATGCAATGTTTCATTAGCATCAATTCAGCATGCAATCAATGTTACCAAGAC